TAATATTAATAACTAGCTCATTTTTACATTCATTTGATGTTTTGCCATTTTGGCAGGTCTTATGGCATCCAGTATTTTAGAGCTGCCTATTCTCAGCTCTTCTCTTAATTTGAAAATAACTGTCATTCTGTTTCATTTGATCAGATGAAGAAAAACGCGCTTTTCCTTACTCTTTGTACTTTTCCCAGAAAGCGTTTTTAGTAGGCCTACTAGTAGGACTAGGTAATTATGCAAAACCCAGGCATAACTAAAAAATTAAAATTGTCATAGTATGTAACTCAAGTTAAAATAAAACTTTTCATTACTCGTGCAGCTTAATCAAATATTATATGTCATTTTAAACGACCCATTGGTATTAACATGGTAACATCAACGTATTTTTAAAAATAAGACAGCGACGTTCTCTCAGAAGTTGTTCTGTAGACGTTTATCTGTTGATGACCTTTTGACCTCCTGAATTCTGCAATGAGATTTTCGGGTCGATTCAGCCGAGACGGCCCGAGTGGAGTTTCATGTAAATGTTTCGTACGGAAAAAAAAAATCGCGACCGGGGTTGCTAGATAGTCGACAGGCTTCGCGGCCAAACACACGCCATCTCACGGCCAAATTCGGCCAAACTTTTTTTCGATATGGGCCAAAATTCGGCCAGATTTTAATCCGATTAGAAGACAACAGTGGGTACATATTCATTTGAAATACTACAAAAATTACACGAAAATCAGCGGTCATTCGTTTGAAATTGAAGGAATTCAAATGATATACACAGAATGTAATGTAATGTAATGTAGTGGGATTTGGTATAGCGCATTATACCGAAGTCTCAATGCGCTGGAAAAACAAAAACAAAAGGCAACTCCTATTGTAACCAAAATACAGATGCAGAGAAACAGACTGACCAGAAGAACCAAACATCACTGCATCGTTCGCCTGCAATTTAAGACCATTGACAGGTGGTTGGCCGGCACATAATTCACAGATGCTCTCATGATGTAAGGCATCTATCTAATCAAGCCTATACTCAAATCACAAAAAACAAAAGGCAGAAAAAAAATGTATGAAAATTTGAAATTAGTAACAGGTATTGAAAAGATGAGTCTTCAATCTTGTCTTGAAAATAGCAAGAGTTGGTGCTTCTCTTACACTAGAGGGTAAGCTGTTCCATAGTTTTGGTGCTGCTACGTGAAACGATCTTTCGCCATACGTTTTTAATCGGCATGCAGGAACTTGAGATCTAAGGCGCCTGCCACAGTTAGCTGAACGAAGGACGATGAGGTTTGAAATGTAGGACGGGGTTAAATTGTGAAGTGCCTTATATGTAATAATCAGGATTTTGAATATGATTCTCTGCTTCACAGAACAATGTTAAACTTTCACTGTTTTTCTTTTAATAATTCTATCACCATATAATACATGCCTAGCCCAATCATAATAATAAATAGCCTATGTTCTTTAGTTGCTGGCATGTAGGCCAATTCAGGGTCGAATCCAGAGATGTCCGAAAGGGGAGGAGCCGGGACCGAAAAAGGGGAGGGGAGGGGAGGGGGGTCGAAAGTGGGTCCGATAAAGATAACATCATCTTAGAGGAAATTTTTGTTTTCTAATTGCCGGAATATAACCTGATGCGTTTGGACGATCAATTTTTCTTTCTTTTTTTCACCCCCCTAAATGCGCTATTTAAAATCACATTATTAAGTTTGATCTTAATTTGATTTAAATGAATTAAATATTAAGGTACATTGTTGTTGATCTATAGCAAACATTTTAAGGTCATGTTATTGGCAAATCCGTGGCTCTCTAATGACATAGTTAGGTAACACAAACTGGCGTTCAAACAAACCTATGAAAATTTTAATAACTTTTTATCTAAACTTTCTAAATTCGCCTCTAAATGTTATTGTCGCAGTACTTAAAGCAATAAATCAATGTTGCTATCAGATTTATCTTCTTCATTCTCATATGCAACCTAACTCCAGAGTAACTTCGAAGAAGTCTCTGCAACACTTGCTTAAATGAAAATTGGAGGTGCCATCGGACCCGAATGATCACATCGAGCATTATGGCGCTCTACATAAAGAACACTGCAGCACCTT